AACGTATGACCTGGAAGAGGCAGCCAGGTTTGACAATCTCAATCCTGTCCATATAGATGTGCCTCCCAATTCCTTATAGAAGTCTTGGAATTTGACCTCAATATATTAATTTAGCTGCCAGAAGCTCTAGATATGTTCCGGCACACTGATCTTTTCTCATAAAGCACGGCTGTTCACTTTAAGTGTTATCTCTTCAAGTTGGTTCAACAAAGACTCCGGTACATATGGAAAGCTCAGGCCGTAGTATTCCCAGACATGGGCATCGAAGTACCGCTGTAACCTGGCGATCTTTGCCTGAAAGTGAACAGACCCCTAAGAAAGGTATACATTTGTCCACCAGTGATACTTGTATTCAGTTTGTTCAATGGCTGCCCTTGGAGGACTAGAAGGTGCCTGTGGGATAGCAAGGTAGGATACACAGGGCTCCAGTGATGACTGATACCCCCCATTGCTGTCGAAGACCAGTCCCAGGAGATCCCCTTGCAAGGTTCCGAGCGGGAGATCTGGAGGATAAACTGAGTTTCCTTTGCAGCTGCGGGGCTGGCCATTGCAGCAGAACCCAGGAGTGGTTGTTGCATGAGGACCAGCACCGGTGAGTCCAGGATAGGAAAACCAATGCTGTCTACAGAGGATTAGTGGAGGCGGCACTTCTTCTAGTATGATTTATGAAACATGCATACGAGCTCCATGGTCAGGTGGAGATCTATGTGCAAGTGGGCAGGGCATCAGCTCAACACCAAGTCCAGAGTGGAGACCATCCCTGGAAAGTTGTGATTGACTGGCCGAAGGATCTTGATGAGCACATGTAGAGGTACAGCTGCACTGTCCAGAAGAGCAGCAGCCCTTCAGGCTGGGAATTTTCCTCCTGGATAAGAATAGGGTTGCCTCAGGCCCCAGACTATTTATGCACTCCCTGACCAACCTACTGGGCATCTTCAACCAGGGATTTTCTGAGCCCACATATATACTTAGGCTGTGGGTCTACCTCTTCCAGGCCACTACATTGTAGAATCCTCCAGAAGGCAGGAGGAAGCAGTCAAACCCACAACTAGTGCAGCCTAGAACTGCCCAAAGCAATAACAAACTGCTCCTCTGATTGTAGGGGAGCCAAAAAAAATAAAGTTACATTTACCTAGCCTATCTAGCAGCCTAGCTAGGAGGGTGTTACATTAAGAAAATTGCAAACAGGACTCCTAGTTTTTCAGTTCACAACTTCCTGTGAACCAATTTCACATTCTGACAAGAACTGCCAGGGATAAAAACTCCTGGCTCCTATAAGAGGGGAAGGGGGAGGTGGTTTGAGGGTGGGGGGCTGCAGACTCTGACCATGTTTTATGTGCCATCTTACATATGGGTATAATGTGAAACATTGTCAGAAAGATGGATTTAGCCTTTAAGTGCAACTAGGATAAGTACCTCAATTTGACTTAAGTTGGAAATCTTATTATTGGGGCTGAATGTCATATGCACATATACTGAAAAGGAATATGCTGACATAAGCCAAGATGACCTCATCAATTTGTTACTGCTCCTTCACTGTCCAACCACAGTCTGGGGAAGAAAAGATGGCCTTGCTGTGCTGCAGAGAAGAGTCAGGTCTCTAAGCTGACTATGCTGTTTCATGGGGCTAAATCCTATGACTTAAAGTTGTTGTAAAGGCTGAAGGTTTTTTACCTTCATGCATTCTATGCATGAAGGTGAAAAACCTTCTATGTGCAGCAGCTCCCCCCGCCACATTGATACCTGAGCCTCATCATGATCCAGCGATGTGAACAACAGCCTCGGCTGACCCAGGTCTCTGCTTCCTCATTAATGAAAAAGCAAACAGAAGCCATTGGCTCCCACTGCTGTCTATTACATCCAGTCAGCAAATGAGGAGTGAGAGGAAGCGGGGCCAAGCTGCGGCTCAGTGTGTGAATGGACACATGGAACAGTGGGTGCTCCCATAGAAAGCTGCTTGCTGTGGTGGCACCCAACAGGAGAGAGGGGCCAGGAGAGCCTGTGGGCAAACCGAAAAGAGGAGGATCCAGGCTGCTGTGGGCAAAACCACTACACAGAACAGGTAAGTATAGACATGTTTATTATTTAAAAAAAAAAAAAAAAACCTTTTAGAATCGCTTTAATGGACAGAAATGCAAAACCTTTAGTGGATAAACCAGCTTCTTCATACTTATTTCATTGGCGTATTTAGCTTTTTGCCCAGAGTTCTGCTTTAAACGTTAAACTACATCTCCTTAAAATGGAACATATTCTTTACTGTTATAGAATTGGTGAGGAATCCAACTGTGTGTCCAAAGAGCACTAATCATAAAGTATAATTGGAAAGGAAACACAGTGTGCAATGCTTCATATAAACTACATTTTCATTTAATTCTAGAATGAACTGTAGCAAACTGCCCATCTCCATGAAATTTACATTACATTTTTTCCTTGCTCAACATCTATTTTTTTCACTGTTTGCATAAAATCCGAGTCTTATGTCTACAGCTGTTCATACACTATTCAGGGCTGATCCAAGGGTGATGTCTCAGTACCTGGATTTTGGCAGGACCTTTCTAAAAACATGCCTCGTTGTTGCAATATTTTTATGTAAGTATCTCAAATAAACAGAGTCAGACAACCAAACTGGAAATCAGTTCTGCTTCAATTGAGGTCAGTATATGATTTGCATTACTTGCCTTTGTAATCATGCATAGCGTTGGCTGCTGCTGCCAGCCTTGTTTCAGAAATATAATTTGCTTTCTAGTCATTTGTATTCTCACGATTTTGCTGATTGTTTGGCAAGCTGTTTTCTATTTTTTAAGAAATAAAACAATGGCATAGAAAAATTCACATGCCGGGAAATTTGCCCTTGAATCTGACTTTTTAGAAAAATTCATAATAATAGTATAAACCCATACCAATATAAAAAGTGTTTAATGATAATATTAATGGTGCCAAGAAAAAAAAAAATCCATATACAACACAAAAACATTTTTTTCCATATGTGATTTTTGTATTTGGATGTAAAAAAATAAACATTTTCAATAAAGTTTTGGTGTGACCGCAGTGACATTCAATAGTGACTCCTCCCCTAATCCAATTTCCTTAGAGTAAGCTGCTCTTAGGTATTGTCAAGGGATACTGCTGCAATTCACAATGAAAAAGCTAGGAAAAACCAACATAGGAATTCATTAGTAGACTGACACTAAACTGGGAGATGATATTTAGGCACAGGTATTGGCACCACTATGAATTGGTGCCATTAGGACTTGCAAGTGTCCACCCAATAGTTCTGGTGATATTTTTGTTTTAGAGGTTAACCAGGAAAAGAGAGGAGAATGGTTGAGGTGTATTTGCTAATGTCAGGAATTAGGAGTTCAGCTTAAACTATAGGTGCTGAAAAATACTTGGGGCTTCTGCATATGCCATGTTACCTCCTTTAATAATGCAGTGCTCAGGTTTAAGCAGTGGCATCATCAACCGCGCATAAGCTCAGACACCATCTGAAACAGTGTTTACACAAGGTTATGACTGCAGAGGACCATAGTGGGGGTGGAGTCTTTTTAATATACGTGATGTAAGGTTTAATTTACAGATGTGTTATACAATTTAAGGGATTGATTTTAAATAAAGCCTGTTGTTAAGAGAAACCGATTTTTGGAGTCTTCTTTGGCTTTCCTGTTGTGCATACAGTAGTTTTCCAGTTCAGTGATTCAAGTGTTGAAGCCAGTTGGCCATTATGATTTTGGGGCATCTAGCAATTGTAGAAGAGGATCAGCTTAGGCAGACAATAGATTTCTCTTACAACAGGATTGCTTGAAGGCTTAATTTAAAGGTTTTCAGGTTTACATTTGGGGTTATATTTTAGTGTAATGGGGAAGATTATGGGTTAATTTTGGGGGGGTCGGTTAAGTGTTAAAATAAACCTGTGGCTCAGTACTGCTCTGAGATAGGGGAGCAGGGTGAGGTGAGCTGATGAGAGAATGACCCAAAAGACTTCAGTGTATCTGAGCTTAAATTACAGGATGAGTTGTGCCACAGTGCCTACAGCTATTCAGGTCAGTGGGGGCTTGTTTCATAGCTCATTAACTGCTTAATAGGAATAAGTTGATACTTCAATGACCATAGTATGGCCACAGGTTCACTAGGGGGAGAGTCAGATTGCATTTAATGGTGATTATGTGTTAGCTGTAGGTAATAACTTGGACAGTATGGGTTGCTTATAGTAAAATTTAGGTTTGTTCTCTATGCCTAACAAATTGCATCCAGGTTAAGGATGTTTACATTAAACTTACCTCACTTTACTAAGATGTCAAGACAATCTTCCATTTTCCATGTACTTTATGTCATGATACAGTAGTTATGAATTAAATAAAAGTGGACCTTGTAGTAAAGCAAGGTCCACCTAAAACATCTGGAGCACCCACCATACTAAATAGTAGCATAAAAAAAAAAAACCTGTAGGGAAGAAGGTTAATAAATATAGCAGCATAAAAGTAAAAAAAAAAAAAACCTTCAAGGAAAAAAAATATTAAATATACTTGCCTTACCCGTTGCTTCTGTAGCCACAACTAGCTACTGTTGGCCCCCTCACATACTATAACAGCAGAAAGACAGTAAGTTAAAAAAATAAATAATATATATATACACAAACAGTATCTCACAGAAGTGAGTACACCCCTCACATTTTTGTAAATATTTTATTTTATCTTTTCATGTGACAACAATGAAGAAATGGCACTTTCTACAATGTAAAGTAGTGAGTTTACAGCTTGTATAACAGTGTAAATTTTCTGTCTCCTCAAAACAACTCAACACATAGCCATTAATGTCTAAACCGCTGGCAACAAAAGTGAGTACACCCCTGAGTGAAAATTTCCAAATTGGGCCCAATTAGCCATTTTCCATCCCCGGTGTTATATGACTTGTTAGTGTTACAAGGTCTCATTTGTCAATGGAGAGCAGGTGTGTTAAATTTGGTGTTTCATCACTCTCATACTGGTCACTGTATGTTCAACATAGCACTTCATGGCAAAGAACTCTCTGAGGAGCTGAAAAAAAGAATTGTTGCTCTACATAAAGATGGCCTAGGCTATAAGAAGATTGCCAAGACCCTGAAACTGAGCTGCAGCACGGTGGCCAAGACCATACAGTTGTTTAACAGGACAGGTTCCACTCAGAACAGGCCTCACCATGGTCGACCAAAGAAGTTGAGTGCACGTGCTCAGCGTCATATCTAGAGGTTGTCTTTGGGAAATAGATGTATGAGTGCTGTCAGCATTGCTGCAGAGGTTGAAGGGGTGGGGGGTCAGCCTGTCAAGGCTCAGACCACACTGTATCAAATTGGTCTGCATGGCTGTCGCCCCAGAAGGAAGCCTCTGCTAAAGATGATGCACAAGAAATCCCGCAAACAGTTTGCTGAAGACAAGCAGACTAAGGACATAGATTACTGTAACCAAGTCCTGTGTTCTGATGAGACTAAGATAAACTTATTCGGTTCAGATGGTGAAAAGGGTGTGCGGCAGCAACCAGGTGAGGAGTACAAAGACAAGTGTGTCTTGCTTACGGTCAAGCATGGTGGTGGGAGTGTCATGGTTCAGGGCTGCACGAGTACTGCCGGCACTGAGGAGCCACAGTTCATTGAGGGAACCATGAATGCCAATATGTACTGTGACATACTGAAGCAGAGAATGATCCCCTCCCTTCGGAGACTGGGCAGCAGGGCAGTATTCCAACAGTATAACGACCCCAAACACACCTCCAGGACGACCACTGCCTTGCAAAAGAAGCTGAGGGTAAAGGTGATGGACTGGCCAAGCATGTCTCCATGCCTAAAACCTATTGAGCATCTCTGGGGCATCCTTAAATGGGAGGTGGAGGAGTGCAAGGTCTCTAACATCCACCAGCTCCGTGATGTCGTCATGGAGGAGTGGAAGTAGACTCCAGTGGCAACCTGTGAAGCTCTGGTGAACTCCATGCCCAAGACGGTTAAGGCAGTGCTGGAAAATAATGGTGGTCAAACAAAATATTGACACTTTGGGCCCAATTTGGACATTTTCACTTAGGGGTGTACTCACTTTTGTTGCCAGCGTTTTAGACATTAATGGCTGTGTATTGAGTTATTTTGAGGGGACAGCAAATTTACACTGTACACTCACTACTTTACAATGTAGCAAAGTGTCATTTCTTTATTGTTGTCACACGAAAAGATATAATAAAATATGTACAGAAATGTGAGGGGAGTAGTCACTTCTGTGAGATGTGTGTGTGTGTGTGTGTGTGTGTGTATATATATATATATATATATATATATATATACAGTATATTGAAGTAAATAAATATGGATAAGTTAGTAAATGTACTTCTTTTATCCCCAGCTTCCATATTGCAGGAAATCACCATTCTTCTTGCAATCCTGCAATCCGAAAAGAACATTATTTTCCTTCCCCTCGCTATGCAAAGCTAAAAAAAATATTGGTTGGACATAAACTTTAATTTTTAACTTATTTATTGAATTAGGCCATCCACTATAAAAACTAATATGCTTTCATTAGTGTTATGTCATCATATACGTAAAGCACATTTATATTTACTAAGCAATGTGACCGGTTGTAGTTACATAGCATTATGATGTTGCCAACTGTGTTATAACAAATGATATTATCAATTACACTGTCTCATTTTGTGACATCAGTGGTGTCAGGCACTGTGATTTATTTGTTGAGGTCTATCAAGGACAAGGGTAATAATTGCTGTAATCTGTTTTGTGCTGTTCACCTGCACGTGTGGCTAAGGCAGAGGTCCCAACAATCAGTAGCATGATATCATGTTAACCTTTCTCTTCACATAACTAATTGTGTTTGCAAAAAATGGTAGACCTACAAGTAAATATCCAAAATTGGAGGTCATGTTCTGGCCACATTTTCCAGTATTCTAATATTTATTTTTTTACTCAGAATTGCTGGTACATATTGAAGATGATAGTTTGATTAGTGCCATGAATATTAAATAATTTTGGGTAGTTGGACAATATTTTAAGTTAGTATACCATTATTATTATTTTTAATATTATACAGAATTTATATACAGTTGCAAGAAAAAGTATGTGAACCCCTTGGGATTACGTGGAGTTTTGCATGAATTGGGCATAAAATGTGCTCTGAACGTCATCTAAGTCACAACAATAGAAGAACACAGTCTGCTGAACATAATACTACACAAACATTAGATGTTGCTGTGGTTTAATTGCACATAACATGTAAACATTCACAGTGCAGGGAGGAAAAAGTATGTGAGGCCCTAGCTTAATGACTTCTCCCAGAGCTAATTGGAGTCAGGAGTGAGCCAACCTTGACTCCAATCAGTGTGATGATATTGGATGTGTTGCTGACAGCTGTCCTGCCCTTAAAAAACACACACCTGTTTTGGGTTTACTGGTTTCAAGAAGCACTGTCTGATGTGAACCATGCCTCGCAGAAAAGAGCTCTCAGAAGACCTACGATCAAGAATTGTTGACTTGCATGAAGCTGGAAAGGGTTACAAAAGTATCTCCAAAAGCCTTGATGTTCATGTGTCCACGGTAAGACAGACTGTCTACAAATGGAGAAAGTTTAGCACTGTTGCTACTCTCCCTAGGCGCGGTCGTCCTGTAAAAATGACTGCAAGAGCACAGCGCAGAATGCTGCATAAGGTAAAGAAGAATCCCAGAGTGTCAGCTAAAGACCTACAGAAATCTCTGGCACATGCTAACATTTTTGTTGACACATCTACAATAAGGAAAACATTAAACAAGAATGGAGTACATGGGAGGACACCACGGAGGAAGCCATTGCTGTCCAAAAAGAATATTGCAGCACGTTTGAAGTTTACAAAAGAGCACCTGGATGTTACAGCACTACTGGCAAAATATACTGTGGACAGATGAAACCAAGATTGAGTTGTTTGGGAAGAACACACAACACTATGTGTGGAGAAAAAAAGGCACAGCACACCAACATCAAAACCTCATCCCCACTGTAAAACATGGCGCAGGGAGCATCATGGTTTGGGGCTGCTTTGCTGCCTCAGGGCCTGGACGGATTGTTGTCATTGATGGGAAAATGAATTCCAGAGTTTATCAAGACATTTTGCAGGAAAACATACGACTATCTGTCCACCAACTGAAGCTCCACAGAGGATGGGTGATGCAACAGGAGAATGACCCAAAGCATACAAATAATTCAACAAAACAATGGCTGCAACAGCACAGAATACGCCTTCTGGAGTGGCCCAGTCAGAGTCCTGACCTCAACCCGATTGAAATGCTGTGGCATGACCTTAAGAGAGCGATTCACACCAGACATCCCAAGAATAGTGCTACGCTGAAACAGTTTTGTGAAGAGGAGTGGTCCAAAATTACTCCAGATCGTTGTGCAGGTCTGATCTGCAACTACAGGAAACGTTTGGTTGAGGTTATTGCTGCCAAAGGAGGGTCAACCAGTTATTAAGTCCAAAGGTTCGCATACTTTTTCCTCCCTGCACTGTGAATGTTTACATGTTATGTGCAATTAAACCACAGCAACATCTAATGTTTGTGTAGTATTATGTTCAGCAGACTGTGTTCTTCTATTGTTGTGACTTAGATGACGTTCAGAGCACATTTTATGCCCAATTCATGCAAAACTCCACGTAATCCCAAGGGGTTCACATACTTTTTCTTGCAACTGTAGTTCTAACAGTTTGCACAATACAAATCAGGACAAGAGAGTTGAAAGGGCCCTGCACCTGAGAGCTTACAATCTAAACGGGAGGTGCAAGTGATGCAAAAAGATTATAACTGTATGCGGATGAGTTGATGGAGAAAGTAAATTGATGGATAAAGTTCAGTTGTTAGGTTGAGATGAAACAGGCTTCCCTGAAGTAAGGAGTTTTCAAGGAATGCCTAAAGTTGGAGTACACCTTGAAAATAGAAATAATCAGCCAAGAAAATATCCCCCATGTCCTTACACCATGACCACCAGCCTGAACCATTGATACAAGGCAGGATGAATCCATGCTTTCATGTTGTTTATGCCAAATTCTGACCCTACCATCTGAATGTTGCAGCAACCAGTCTGCCCTTTCTCCTCTGACCTTTGACATCAACAAGGCATTTTTTTCCACACAACTGGATATTTTCTCTTTTACGGACCATTCTCTGTAAACCCTAGAGATGGTTGCGTGTGAAAATCCCAGTAGATCAGCAGTTTTAGAAATACTCATACCAGTCTGTCTGCCACTAACAACCATGCCATGTTCAAAGTCACTTAAATCCCCTTTCTTCCCCCTTCTGATGCTCAGTTTGAACTTCAGCAAGTTGTCTTTACCACGTCTGCGTGTCTAAAGGCATTGAGTTGCTGCTATGTGATTGGCTGATTAGCAATTTGTGTTACCAAGCAATTGAACAGGCATACCTAATAAAGTGGCTGGTGAGTGAGTTCCAGAAGATGGAAGAGTCCTGGAGGCATGCATGGGCAAAGGTAATGAGGAAGCAAGAGAGAAGGAGGTCCTAAAAAGAGGATATTTTGAGATGGGGTTGGTGATGTCAGTGGAGGGAGTGGCAGTTGGTATGGACACTGGTTGGTTGCTTGGTATGGTGGATTCGTTTGGCAGCAGCATTCATAAAATACTGAAAGGGGGATAGTCTGTGTAGAGGTTGGCCAACAAAAAGGCAATTGCAAAAGTCAGGACAAGAGATAACAAAGAAGTGAATTAGTATCTAGGTGGTATTATATTGTCAAAGTAGAGGTGTACTTTAGAAATGTTATGGAATTGAAGGTGGCATGGTTTTGAGAAGGTTGTTATCAGTGAGTAACAGCTCAGACAGTTGTAGCCTAGACATTATAGAAGTTTGGATGTAACCAGAAGCAAGGAGATGGGTTTTAAATTGTTCAGACTAGTGGGGTCCAGCAAGACCTTTTAAATTATGGGGGGTGACTAGTGCTTATTTTATAAGGGATGAGAAGATGCCAGTAGAGGGAGAGATTGGAGATGTGAGTTAGAAATCATAAAATAGAGCAAGAGGGTGACTGAAGTAGTTGTGAGGAATGGAGGAAGTTATTCTCTACAAAAAAAAAAATTAATAAATGCACATTTTTTTCATGGATGCAGTGTCAGGCATCTACAGACATGCCCTGAACCTTTCTGCCCATATCTTTATACAGGCTGTCAGTTTGAAAGCTGTAGGGCTTGTGAATAAACTACAAGGGCATTCATTAGTGCCCTTGTAGTTTATTCAGAACTACAAGCCACCTGCCATGGTGGCTGAAGGAACTTGTAGTTCATTCATTCACATGAAACTGTGAATAAATGATGCAGCTGTGTGGGCAGCTGCACTCTTTTCAAAAAGTGACAGTAGATGGGAAGAAGGGTGTCACGGGCAAGGAGAAATGAGGGGAAAAGCAGCAGGAGCTGGAACATGTTACATGTTCTATTCTAAATTCTGGGTGGGACAATGTGATATGTTCCAATAGTAAACTTTTTCTGGGCATCAACAAAAAATTTACAACCCATTTTTTTCATTCTTACTGTAAGATGTACTACAGCAAAAATTACAATTACAAAATAAGATATACAGTTGAAATTGTTGACAC